TACCATACAGGATTATAATAAATTTCGGTATTCTCAATTCATATTTATATTTGATTTTAAATATTTAATTTTCATATCGATAACAAAATCCTTTTTTTCTCTCTATCTCTCTCTCTTTTTTTTTTTTTTTTTTCTTTTCTTTCTTTTTCTTTTTTTGGGCCCACCAGCGGCCGAGCGGTAATGTCGCTGAACACTGGTAGTTCGGTCCGAGGTTCGAATCCCGCGAACGGGCTGGCTGCATGGGTGTTTTCGTGGTTTTCCCCATGTGTAACGTGTATACGAGCCAGCTTCCTTTAGAAAGTCCTCCACGAAAGGCATCCCTCCCCTTAGGCAGATAGCCCTAGTGTGCTTTGCCATAATTAAATACACCAACACCATCTTTTTCTTTTTCTTTTTTTTTCCCGATTTTACAGTTTTCTGTATCAGATCATCAATTCTGCGTTTTTTCTTTCCTTACTGCTTTGTTTCCACACGTCCTTTTTTGTTTAACTTACAATGAAGGCATTCGTAGTGGTTCTTAACCGTTCTTGACCTTCTTTTGAGCAAGTTTATAGAAATTCTTTTTTTTTTACGATATGGAAGTCGATAATTCATGCTTTAATGACATTTTGCTAATGGAAATTTTCGCAATGCTTTCCAGGTGAGAATTTAACTGGTTTTTCATTTTGCCTTGGAAACAGGTCACTGACTTAAAACAAATCTCAGCGAAGGATAAACATTTCTTAAAATTATTCAGACATTTATCTTAATAATTAGTAACATTATCAGAATAAAAATCTTACAAATGATAATGTAGTAATATTGGGCTATATGAATTTATGGCACTTTGATTTAGAACGAATTTTTTTGTTACTGTACTGTGCATTATCAGTGAAATAAGAAAAATTAATATAATGATAATTTAATGGAAATATTTACATTTATTATTTGTTCAGCGGCCAACATTTTTCACGCTTTGAAATCTTATTACCTGTATATCGAAAGACCATTACTACTGTTTTCCTAGTCTGACTTGAAAGTCTGTTTTCCTAGTCTGTAACATATATTGATAAATTCAAAATGGATGGATGCAGTAAAGCTGGAATTCAAAACGAAATGGTTTACAATAAAACAGCCAATGCATTGAGTAAACCAATGGATTCAAACTACTGGATGCAGCAAAGCATAAAATCAAAATCAATGAATGTAGTAAAGCAACCAAAATCAATGAATTCAGTAAAGCATTAATTCAAAACAAGTTGCAAATATTATATAAAATACATTGTTCCTCTGAGTAATGTTAGCTTTTCTTATTAATACTTTTTTTGTTGCCGATGCTAGATGCATAATCTTAAACAAACAAAAATAATAAACAATCGGAATGCATACTTTTATCAGAATTTTAAAATAGAATTTCTATATTAAATAATATTAAATACAATACATATTAATATATTTAGTATTAAACGCATCTAGTTAGTAACTTATGTTCTAAATTGTGATACAAATACTAAAAGAATAATATACCAACATGCACAAAAAGAAAGCTATACATGTATAAAATGTACAGCATTTATAAAATGTATACACTTTATATATGCATAGCTTTTTCTTATATACACTATACATGTATAATAAAATTATTAGACACTATACATGTATAATAAAATAATTAGACACTATATATATATAATAAAATTATGACACGCTGCTGTAATAATTTTACTAATGTATAAAAACATGTGTAAAATTATTACGGCAGCATGATAATCAAACATTTAGAATCTTCAAATGGTAAAAGTTGATTTTCTAAAGGCTCCGAGTGGTTTCAATTTTTCTTGACTGTTCAATAATAACTTGGAGAATTCTGAGCATTAAATTATTTTCTCTCTGAAGTTTCTAGACAGCTGGTTTCCCAGATACTGCTAACACTTTTTTTGTGATAACTGATAACTTTTTACTGTTTTTAACTTCTTATGTTATTACTATTAAAGTGCATGATAATTATAATAATTGCTGAATATAGTAATTGGCTACAAATCATTAATTCTCTGCCATAATTCCGACATTATTTTTCATCGCAATAATTACTTTGTATCTTTGAGCCCACCAGCGGCCGAGCGGTAAAGTCGCTGAACACTGGTAGTTCGGTCCGAGGTTCGAATCCCGCGAACGGGCTGGCTGCATGGGTGTTTTCGTGGATTTCCCCATGTGTAACGTGTATACGAGCCAGTTTCCCTTAGAAAGTCCTCCACGAAGGCATCCCTCCCCTTAGGCAGATAGCCCTAGTGCGCTTTGCCATAATTAAATACACAACCAATACTTTGTATCTTTGTGAATACCCATTATCCAAATTATAATACAAGTTGGAATGCTTAAACAGCAAATTGAAAAAAAAAAAAAATTCAAAGTTTCAAATTTAAGAATCTAGACCAAAATTAAGGTCACATTTTGGAAGGTGGTAGAATATTATTTTGCAATATACTTAAAATTTAATCGCAATCAGAAAAAGAATACCGAATTGTGTTTCTTTAGATTACTAGAATGTAAGGTATTATGAAGAAGTAGATAGAAGTCCAGAACTTCACCAATGGTTTTACAAATACGGTTCCTACTGCAATAATTGCACAACTTCATCCCAATTTAGAAAAGAACACTCCGAAAGACAGATCTAAGGGTTTCCCAGCCCTCTTTTCCCTATCGCTAAGTCTCCCAAGAAGACTTTCGTTTCACTGTTATTACAGTAACTTTATACATTCAGACACTATGCACATAAAATCCTTCAAGCCTTCTCCGACATTAGAATCTGGTCTCAGCAATACGATAGCTAGCGTTGTGGCCTGGGCAGCATACAGTTGATTTCTCAAGTTTCCGAAATTCAGAAAGGTTAAATGTCAATATAGTGATACCCGAACTAAAATGTAGTAGACGATAACTCTCTACGACCTTGACCTGGCCATTTGGGTCTCTACCTGGTCATTTGGACCACTGCCTTTCCCCAATGGAATTTTGAGTGTGGAAGAATATAAGCAATTATCACATACCCCGTGAGTATTCTCGTTGAGTAAGTGGTTAGCATATTCAACTAGAATTAGAAGATTCGATTCCCAGCGAGGTTAAAGGTCATTTTCCCCCTTTCTCGGCTGCGGAAAGTCTGATAATCTCAACAAATGATGTTTTCTTTCATAAAATATGTCTGAAAATAGCAACTTGCAGCGTAAAATTTAAAAGTTATATTAAGGTAATCGTTTATTTAATTTTAGATTAATTAGTATTATTACTGTTACTATCAATATCAACGTATACGGTACTGTCCATCTAAGTTCCGAGTTATATGTGCAAATCCGACAAAAAGACTCATTCGGGAACGTATCTTATTTACAGAATGGAATCATCTGTATGTGATTTCGTGTCTATAGCACAAAGAAGAGAATTTAGGATGATTCAAGAATTTTTCAGTAAGGGAAAATGATGAAAAGATTCAGTATGTGAGGTTGTTTACCTTTGTAAGAAGTCTTATAATTTTCTTATATTTTGAAAACTGGAATAGAATTCTTCAGGAAAGGCTCACCGCTGACTATTAGATAATGTATTTAATACAACATACAATTATCAGTACAACAATATAACATACAATAAAACTATTATGTCATCAGTATTTTGACGTTAGTAAAAGAAAGAAGTTTAAACAGACGTTTTGCTTTTCTATACGATCTAAAGATAAGATTTTGAATTAGTGGTTAACCTTTTTATGCTCCCCTCACCATAATCTATATAATCATTTGTATGCATTCTCTTCGCTAGAAACAAATTTTAAAGCATTCCACTGTCTGATATTGTCTGATATAATATTTTAGTTTGGAGTATGTAATAAAAACGCATACAGTTTTACTGTATAATATTTCTATTTCTTCATTCACTTTTGAACCAATAACAGTAGACAATTTAGACTTTTATACCTCTTTCGTTCTTTCGATACAGTATTCTAAACTGAAAGAAGAAATGATGGTGGCATGAGACATTTTGAAATAAATGCCAGTCGTAAGACTGGTTGATAAACAGCAACTTGATTTTGAAAGACCAATTCTAATTAACAGAAAACTCAGAACAAAATAACGTTTTCATGCTAAAACAGCACTGGTACATAACGAAATTCTTAAATTTTATAATTATGACCATGTGCGCTCTATTGGCTTCTTTCCGCTAACTTATGAGCAAAGTGATAAATGATGTCATTAAACATAATGCCGACATCACCGCTATGGTCAGTGAGCTGCATTCCGTAACCGAAATCGAATTCAGAAGAAATTGTCAGGGCTCAGTAGTTTCAGCCCGTCGGCCACAAACCCGGTGATAAATGCTTACGAAAAGATGAGATATAAGGCATTTTCTCCATCCTTTCTGCATGCGTTCGTGGTGTAACGGTAGCACACTCGGCGCGTATTCGAGAGATACACATTCGAGTCCCAGCGAGGGCATTGCTCCTTTTTCATGCCTCCTGCTACAAAATAATATCCCAATCATTCTACAGAGAGATATCAGACTTGCTAAAAATTAAGAAAAAATTCCTCACACTTTTAATGGTCCTATATCCTTTGAAAGAGTATAAACTTTGAAAGTTTTAAAGTAGATTAAGGAATTCAATTACGTTTTTAAAATAAAGCACTTGGTGATAAAAACCATTCCTACAGAAAAAATGTACTCATTTTAGAATTCTAGCGCCTGCTATTCATCGGACCTCAGATATATCAGCCAATATGATCTCCTTTTAGTGCTTGCATCCCAATAACCAACATTTCTCGATAGAAATCGAAAATGAAATCGCGTAACACACCTCTATGCTATACTACGCTCTGAAAAGCAGTTGGATCGAACTGCGCAACAGTTTTCTTCGCGATGGAAGAACAAAAAACAAAGAAACATAGCTAAGAAGTAGGTCGGCCACTAGCGCGTGGTTGCTATTTGCAAGGTGTCGAAACCGGTTTCAATAAAGAAGAAAAAAAGGTTGTGCCAGTTCTCTTTCCAACTCTTTAACGGAATTCGGCCATCTTCAGTATTCTCGTGTCTTCTCATACTACTACAGAGAAGCATTCCAACGGGACTTTGCATTAGTTTTATCATCAACTTCAAGGGCAGCTTCATCTTTCCCGCTACTGCGGAAAATTGCATCAGAAGTAACTGCAGAAGCACTACCATGTTATTGTATGACATGTTCAACATCCTGCTGTTCCGTCCTTATTAATTGGGTTAATGATGTCAGTAACGATAACAAACTCAAAGATAGGAATAATTCCTCTTTTGGTAATAGGACTTTTCTTTCACTACGCGCAAGGTGAGCGATTTATTATAATTTTCTCCAAAATGATTTTTTGCAGATGAACAGAATTTGTAGATATGTATTTATTTCATATTTTAATTGAGAAACGTTAAGTTATAAAATGATAAATGTGTAACACGTAATTTGGGGTATTTCTAGAAGTTTCTCCATGAGTTGAAAATATTCCCTTTTTTTTTTTTTTTTTTAATAGTCCAAATCGGCTTTATCCCTGAAGGACTATTATTTTCGCTTTGCGATTTTGAGTTGGTTCACTATAAACGTTTACTTTTCAAACTGTTGCCACCAAATGTTAGAGTCCTGCATTATATTTGAAGAAATTAAATAATGAAAAATCTTCATAACTGTATGCATATTTCTCGCATTGTGATAAAACAACGGTACATAGAACCATCGAATTTTGACTGACGTAACATTACTGCGAATATGGGCATGTGGAAGCCCAAATTTGAAGTTTGGAATCTGTTTTATTATGTATTTCATATTTTGAAAAACTTTAACGAATTTCTGATTAACAAACTCAAGGATTTAAAAACGAGCAATAGCAACATTATACGGAGAAAAAAAATCTCCAGCGCGCGAGACTATGAATCAGAAATTCTAAGGATATGCTCAATTTAAAAAATTTTTGCGATATTGCTCTTGAACTGAATTTTATGGTTTAAGTGCGAAGAACATGACATTTAATAAATAAAGGTAACACACAAAATGTTAAAAAAACACCCCTTTGGACGTAATTTAAAATCTGAAAACTTTCAGATTTTTTTTATGTATATTATATTATTTTTTTATTTGTGTTTTTTAATTTTTTAAATTGTAATTTTTGCAATTATATAATTCCGTTAATATTTCTTTTTTCTTATTTTTTTATTTTATTTATTTATTTTTTATTTATTTATTTATTTTGCTATTTTATTAAATATTGGCTTATGTAATTATAAATGGGCGTAAAATACTCAAACTACTTTTAATCTTTTTAAATAGTGATAAGAATAAATGACATATTTACTAAATTTTAATAGCTTAACATTTTACTACGACAAGACCGCTTCATATGCCATTATTCTCAATGAGTGGTTTTAAATTTTATTCCATCTAAAATTGTGCACTGTTTATATCACTCGTCATTCATCAGAAACTTGTTTCGTATTTTTAGAGCAAGCATTTGATTTTAGCAACATGTTTTAAGGACATATTCCTGTATAATTATTAAACAACCAAGAATGTTTATCTCATTCCAAATAATGTGATAAGCAATCCCTAGTGTGATTTTCTATACATTGTTTTTTTTTCAGCTTGCGCAAAAATAGCTGTTATTACTTTATAAGGTATTTCTCCCGCCTTCTTAGCATACCTTCGTGGTGTAGCGGACTGCGCACTAGGCGCGCATTCGAGAGTTTCGAGTCCCGGCGAGGGCATTGCTCATTTTTAATCTCTCCTGCTTTAAAAAAATACGTAATCACTCTACAAAGTATACATTTAAATAAAGTAATAATTGAGTAAATGTAATAATATTTTTGTGCAAAAGTTTAAACGTAAACATAGAAAATCTTTTCACATAAATTTACCTGTTGAAAAAATATTTTCATTAGTTTCTTTTTTCGTTTGAATTACTTTAATTTGTTTAATTAATAAATTTGTTGAATGGAAAAAGAAGACGCTAGTGTGGAAATTAAAATTAGGCAGAAAAGCAGCACATATTTTCAATAAAACTCCATCAGTTTTCGAGGGCAATCGCACTCGGACCCTCTTGTTCAGGAGCAATAAAAAAAACCTAAATTCGCGTATGTTTTTTTTAGTTTTGGTGTCACTGTAGAGACATTAGATATTTTTTTAAAGCAGGAGAGATGAAAAATGAGCGATGCCCACGCCAGGTGTGCCGACTACTACACCACGAAGGCATGCTAAGAAGGCGGGAGAAACACCTTATAATCTTTTTTATTTTTTTTTTTCAGATACATATTTCATTTATTTTTGATATTTTTGCTGCAAAATTAGTTTCTATTTACAGGATCACGGCCTGGATCCTCAGAATATACAGTTTTCATATACTAAGTACTTTGGTAGATATTTTGCTGTTAAAATAAGTTGCAATTTATATTCTTTTATGTTCTTCAAAAACAAATATTGCAAGGTGGAGATAAACATATTTTTTGTCAACAGTGACAGTGTAAAATCTTGATATCTCGCCCAGTTTACTTAATTTCAGGTGATTTTTAAATCCTTTAATATCAGAAGCACACTCTGTGGAGAAATTAGGAAATTATATGAAAGTCTATTTGTGTTATTAGATGGGATATAATGTGATTAATATAACCAGAAAATCTGAAAAGACTTAATAATTAACACCATGTTAACACTATCAGGAGATAAACAAATGGAGCACATTTATCAAATTTGACAATTTCGTAATGGGCAATGGCAGCTGGTTTCTATTTAGAGAAAGTGAAACTCATTACAATAGAAAGAAATAAAGAATTAAAAATATTCTCATTTTTATATCTTTCTATACTACCAGCTTGTACTATTGTAGCATCATTACACGTATTTGCATTATTAAATCTCCGAATTTTTTTACATAAGTCAATATTTCCATTTGTCATTCAATATATTAAATGAAGTTTAAATATTTGATATATTAGAGTATTTTAAGCTTAGCATTGGAATTGAATGGTGAGCTGATCTTTAATAATAGTAAGTTTTGCATTCTGTATTACCTGCTGCGCTAAACAGATACATTATTTGATCACATTTCATAATAAGTATAAGTACATTCGTATGTTAGCGGCATAAGTATATTAGTATATTAGTGACGTAAATATATTAGTATATTAGTGACTTAGCTAGAACTGTATGTTAGTAAAATCAGAATATTACTTTTGTTTCGTCATAATTCAGTTCATGCATGTCAGATAAAAACATTGCACGTAGCATACTTTGTACTGTTGTTTTCGTGTTCAGGAGAATCAGTTTAGTTAAAGTTAATCATTTTTGTCCATGTAACGGACAAAATATTAAGAAATGTAATTGCGTTTTTTTTTACTTTGCTATAATTAAGAGAAAAAAACAACATTTACTCTCTATGATAAAAGATTTCACCTTTTTTTGCTGTAAGTTTCGAGCAAAGGCAGAAATTATAAATTTAAAATTACTTGCTCTATCTGTAGAAAAAATTTGAAAAGGGGATAGATTATTAGAGATTCCATGTATATGTATATTGCCAGAAAATAAAATATCAGGTGACAAAAATCTTAAAGAAAGCAATTATTCTAAATTTTAATGCTTTAATTAATCCATTACTTTTTGTGATTATTTTAAGTTTTAGAATTAAATAAAAAGAATAATTTTTTTTTGTAGAATAGCAGCTTGGTAGCCTGTCCGAATGCAGCCTTTATTTAGAATGTGGTCTTAGGTAGGATTTTCTCTTCTAAAGGAAAAAAAATTAAATTTATATTAACTCATTCTCTTTCAGATGAATAAACAATAATTCGAAATTATGGGACTCGTTCATCCGGAAATTCAAGAATAAAAATAATTAAGAGAAAAAATAACATTTACTTTCTGTAATAGGAGATTTCAGATTTTTTGTGGCAAGTTTTATAAAAGGTAGAACTTATGAATTTAAAATTGCTTCTTCTATATGTAAAAAATTTGCAAAGGGGTAATATTATTAGAAATTCTGCGGTATATACATTCTGTCAGAAAACGAAATATCAGAGGCCGATCTTACAGAAATAAATTATTTTAAATTTTGATGCTTTAATTAATTCATTATTTATTATGATTATTTTTTGTTTTAAAATTAAATTAAACAAGCAAAATATTTTTTATAGAATGGCAATTTAGTCGTCTGTAAGAATACAGCCTTTACTTAGAATGCAATCTTAAGTAGCATTTTCTCCATTCTAAAGGGGGAAATGTTAAATTAAAAATTGAAAAAAAAAAAACTCATTCTCTTTCAGGTGAATAAACTAAGATTCGAAATTATGAGAATCGTTCATCTAGAAGTTCAAAAACAAAAATTTCAATGGTCGAATAATTATGCTGTAATCTTCAATGAAACTGAAGAATGGTAGGCCAAAATGGTATAAAATCTCATTCGCTATTGAGCAACGCCAATACATTTTATGCAGCAGTAAATCAAGGCTTGAAGAGCAAGGCTAGAAAAAAATCAGTTCGAGGAATCCGTTATAATAAGTTACGTTAGACCACTCGTCTCACTGGCTGAAGTCACAGGTTTAGGGAATAGTTGGAGTAATCGGTTTGGTAACTCACCACTTTGAAAGCCAATGTGTCATCGTTGGTTTGCTAATGAATGCATGATTAATTTACTTGAAAAGCTTTTATACTGTACATTATTTACTAAAGTTTAGCCTTGAATGAGTGTGGGAAAGTTGTGGCCTTTTAAGGAGTAGTGAGGCTTTTTATCTGTTTCTTAGAGCTACAAACTGCTTTTCATTTTTTGTTGCAATAGAAAACTCAAAACATTTCAAGGCAAATACTATCGATTTTTCATTTTGATGGTATTATTTTTTTAGCTCAAATGCGGTTTGAAATTACATCGTAATAAGTAAATCTGTGTTTAAAAAATGTCTTGAAAGACACATACTTCTGAAAAATGAAATTTCTCAAAACTTTGTTCGAAAGTGTTCCATTATCCAAGCTAAAGCCGGGTAAGCAGGTCACGGATAATCCAAATCATCAATTTTCATGCGTATTGTATGCTTTTATGTCTTTAAAAAAATTGTAATTACTTTGGTTTTGAGAACTTTAAATATCTTTTGGATTCCACAGTGTATTTATCGAAATACTATTCTTTTCTTTGAATCCCCTTTTCTTTGATCAATTAAGTTCAACAGTGTTTCAACGGAAATCATTGCTATCTCGGAACTCATGTAATGAATTGTCTGGATCTTTTTTCCCTGTATTTTCAGTATCACTCTTTGTTCTTCTGTTCTTGTGACATTTGAAACTATATCCACATTACTCAAGCACTG